TATAATATCGGTTATCGGTATCGGTATCGGTCTTGAGAAGCAGGAAGTTATCGGTATCGGTTTCAAAAAACCAATATCGTGCATCCCTATTTTATACCTGTTAATAATTTAGTCTCTAATGTCTCATTAATAACTATAATGATCATATCAAGGTGTGCCTTAACCTCACTGTGAGGTTAAGGCACACCTTGATATGATCATTATAGTTATTAATGAGACATTAGAGACTAAATTATTAACAGGTATAAAATAGGGATGCACGATATTGGNACGTTATTATGAGAGTGCTCTCATACTTATTTGAATCAGAAATTGTATATAAATATATATGTGTGTATATATGTCTGTAGCCTGTTATTGTCTCATTATACCGCACTGTCAATGAATTAAAAGTAAATATATAAGTCATCATGAACACATCTGTCCATCAGACAGAGGGCTGCTGTGCCTCCTGTCATCATTAGTGGACATCTCTTTTAAAACGACCGCTCAGAGGAGAGGAGTTCTCATTTCTCTAACCGCCTGCTGCTTCCCCTCCTCTCTCCTCGACTCCTCCGCTCGCATCTCCTGTGGGCGGGACTAAGACACGAGGATAGGAGTCGAGGAGGGGAGTCGAGGAGGGGAATTAGAGAAATGAGCATGGGGTAAAATGAAGTGCATTCATGATTAACGTATACAATTCTCATCACACTTGCAGATTTTTACCAACCAGTGACGTTTTCAATGTCCCTTGAAACTTTTAAAATGGTTGATGCCCACCAGCTTTTGGCGACTGCAATACTCATCTTTTAATGCTGAGATGAACACTGTTGTAGTCAAAATAATAACATTGTTTAAAAAAATCTACAGATTAACTAAAGCTTTCATAATAATATAGTGGAATAAAAAAAGCACAATATTTTTCTCTGCAATGTATTGGGGTAGATGTATGAAGTAGCAATAAAGCCAATAACCTCAAGTAATTACCTCCAGTCAATTACCTCAAAATGTTACTTAATTACAGGTCATAAGCATTCAACAAATGAAATAGAACTAGCATCTTGATGCTTCCTTACATCCTCCTGTCCAGTTGTTTTCATTTTGATTTTGGTTCAATCACATACTTCATGATTTTGTGTGTCACATTTGTGTGTCACTGTTGCAATGAATGGATTATTGTATTTTCTATATGACTTAATTTGCAAACGTATTCACATAGTTAACAAATCAACATGTTGCTTATGTTCCTGTAGGAAGGGACATATCCTCACCAGCGACTGAAGTGAACGGGATAAAAGTCGTTAACCTGCCGATACCAAGATTAGACACTGTAAGAGTAAGTTCCAATCCACTTAAATGTGTATATGAAAACCAGTCCATAGAAACACATTGGATGTCATTTTACCATGGATGTTTAAAACAACAGCAACAATAATTTTTTTGTTCCCCTATTGCAGGAAAATGCTGCTGACCAGCCAATCAGGTCGTCTCCCTCACCACCTCTGGTCAAGGTGAAGGATGAGCCCATAGATGAAGATTATGATCAAGCTCTGATATCTTCCACATCCACTGCAAACGTGAAAGATGAGCCCAATATTGCAAAGGTAGGTCACAAGCCCTCTGATGGCAGTTTAATGTCTTAGTCTCATGTCTGAATGGTCATAACAACAATTTTACTATGTCTGAACAAGTTTTATTTACTATGAATGTTAATCTTGTACCATAACGGCCATATTAGGTGCAAAAAAACCTCTTACAATCACAGCAATAATCTGACACTCTTGCCCTAAGATTTAATCATCTGTGTGGATATTTGGATCCCTGTGCCAACTCTAAAAATGCTAAAGTTGAGTTTGATTAACAGGTACATTTTAAACGTCTCAAAATAAAACAAATAACCTTTCTACATTTATTTTTTTTATACCCCCATTAGACAAAGAAAAGTGAGTGCATTTCTAGTCCTCGTATATAAAATTACCCCCAGTTTTTCAAATGGAATACCCAGTAAAAAGTCAAATCCAGACTACGACTGAATTTTTTTTCCTGTTCTGTTGTTGACAGGAGGACCTGAGGATCGGATCGGTCTTCTCTGTGACCCCAGCTGCTGAAGCTCAATTGCTGCCCGTCGTCAACCCATCCTCCCTGCACATGTCCTGCTCCAACTGCAAGTCGAGCCTGATCAAAGGACAGACAGCTTTCCAGAGGAAGGGCTCCCCCGCCCTCTTCTGCTCCACCTCCTGCCTCACCACGTCGCTCCCCGCAGCCAAAGGAGTCACTAAGGTCTGCCACGACTGCCAAAAGTGAGTTGGACAGAAAACGGTTACATCTTTCAAAACTAACGACACTTTGACACAATTCATATTAAGGGGACTCCAGGTTATCATGGTAAAAATGTTCTAACAATTGAAATCATCTTAAAACTTCGGCAGTTGGTTAATTACAGTAAGACAATCACTTTTTGTTTCTCAAGCTTTCTGAAATATTATATTTCAGTGATGCAAATTAGTCGCTTTTCGGCGCCTCCCGCTTTTTTAACGCTGATTTGGGTGACTTATGTAATTCGTGGAGAACCGAAGAGTTTTCGTTTTGGGGTGGGGGGGTCCGTCAGTCCGTCCGTCCGACTGACGGACAACTTCTCACTTCAAAAAAGAAGAAGAAATCTAGATCGCGAAATAATTAAAGGAGCGGGTGCCTGTTTTTCCTGGCCAAGGACAGGTTCATTGAACACAACACGAGCGTAACGTGTCTTCACGTGGTTATTGCTCGTCTGAAAGGAGTAAAGGAGAGTAACAGAGAGCATCGGAATGCCGCTCCAGCTCTTCAAATATTGCAGTACCCATAAGGAGCCGTACACATGCCGCAGTGTTTGCGATGCTGTTTCTTTAGTTGTAAGCACAGTGGCGATCTGTTGTTATTAGCATCTGGTTAGCTAGCTATGCTAACGAA